AAGTTCTTCATGAAAATGTCGAGCCAACAAACGGGTATAGATTCCTACATTAGTCGTGGTGTTTTTTTTTGTTTTTTGCTTTCTTTTCAAAAACGCAATCGAATTTCGATTTCGAAAGCGTTTCGAATTGAAAACCCACCAGTTTTACGATAACAAATAATAGTTGTTGAAGTAACTTGTTGTTTCTCATAGTAACTTAAGTAAAGCATTACTTTAAAACTAGATGTTATGTTAGAGCATAGTCAATCTAGTCCTAGATTTAAAATTATTTTTATATAAGCAGATAAATTAAAAGGAATGAAACGCATGATAAACGTGAAACTTGAACAAAATTTTTCATCAATTGAAATCTATATCAAGGATATGGAAATAACCTTTTATGAACTTTTTAACAATTTTTCTTACAGTATTTTGCGCTAAAATATTGGAGAAAAGATTTGAAATGAGCGAGTGTTCCACTGCTTGTCTTGACAAAAGTTTTCTCTATCAGTCGTCGTCTGAGTTGATTGTCCGGTCCAATGTCGTTATCCGAGATTGTTTAAGTGTCTAGGTAATCTGAGGAACTACTCTTTTGCAAAATTTAAACGATCGACTGGCTTCAAAAAACTATGATTTATAAAAAAAGGTTTTATTTTCTTCAAAAGAAAACACTCAACTGTCAGCTAAAAGAAAACTTCAGAGCTTTTTGAAAACGCAGGCCAGTTCATCCAAAAAAATTATTTCCAATTATTCTGCAACTGCTATTTAAAAATCAGTGCTCTTTAAAACTCTTATCCTCCTTTTGATCACGAGACAGACACTTGCAATTTGGTTGATTTCTGATATTAAAAATATATACCTAGCGTAACTGGGATAACTCATAATACTTTCAACTGCCCTATTTTTTGAATAATCAGAGCTGCATTTTTAATGATTTGTGATATAAAATAAAAGGTTTAGTTTAAATGGAGTACTCGTAAAAGTTACATCTTCCCTAGTTACTTTGATATTCATAGCGTAGATGGATTCATCTGTTTTCAAAGTCAACAAAAATGGGCATATTCTACCTGACTGGCGTTGTGAAAGAATTAATGTTTCCCCAATCATCAGTTAAATTTCACTAAAATCCTCGATTGTTTATCAAAATTTTTGTATAGAAAGAATAAGCAAATCCATCACAAAAAGAATTTTGATTTGACTTCTAAAGTCATGAGCTAATATGTTTTGTTGAAATATTTTAATGACAACTAAAAAGGCAATCTCTTTCAGGTTGTGAACGAATTCGGCATAAAAAGTCCACTCGATCATTGTAAATATATAATTCAACAGCCTGTTATACTAGACGGGCATTTCCAAGTTCTTGAATTCTCACAACTTCAGTTCCATACAATCCCACCAATCAAAAGAGGCAATCTCTTTCAGGTTGTGAACGAATTCGGCATAAAAAGTCCACTCGATCATTGTAAATATATAATACAACAGCCTGTTATACTAGACGGGCATTTCCAAGTTCTTGAATTCTCACAACTTCAGTTCCATACAATCCCACCAATCCCACCACTAATTTTTTCTGATCATATTTCAAGACAGCTTTCAGAAAGAGCAATTTTTTTCATTTAAATAAATCACTCGAAAATTTGTGTTATCTGATTTGAAGGAGAAAAAGAAGAAAAGTCCATAACAGAACGAAAGACAAAGTTCTTTCAACTAACAGTGATCATCAAATTGGTTCACAAGTTGGGCATCGCAATAAGCATAATTGGAGTGAGACGATTAGCTGGTAAACATTTTGATTATGATAAAAACTGTGAGTCAAAGATTTTCAAAGGATAAATGCAGTCGAGTGAACATTAAACACAGCCTAGAAAACACGACACATTTTTGTCATGATGAGAAAGTGCTTGATTGGTGGGCAAATTGGTTCTTTTCCTCCAAATTTTCAAAAGAAAGAGTCATCAAGTTCATCATGAAAATGTTGAGTCAATGAACGAGTATAGATGCTTTTATTAGTCAAGGTGTTTTTTTATTTATTGCTTTCTTTGACAAAAACGCGATCGACTTTGATTTCCAAATTTACCAGCTTTTAAAAATTTACCAGCTTAACCATAACTAATAAAGGGTCGTTGAAGTAACTTTTTGTTTCTCATAGTCACTAAAGTAAAGCATTAGTCTCAAAATAAATATTATCTTGGAGTAGAGTCAATCTGGTCCTACAATTAAAATGACATCTATCTAAGCCAGTAAATAAAAGAAATGAAAAGCATTATAAGAGTAAAAATGAACAACGATTTTCATCAATATCAAATCTATACCAAGGATGTGGGAATAATCTCTTATAATCTTTTCAAAAACTTTTCTTACAGTTTTTTGCGGTAAAACATTTGAGAAAAGGTTAAACAAGAGCGGGTGTTCCGCTGCTTGTTCTGAAAAGAGTTTTTTCTATCAGTCTTTCGTCTGAGATGATTGTCTGGTCCAAGGGTGGCTATCCGAGAATCTTTAAATATTTAGTCAATCAACGTAACTATTTTACTCCAAATTTAATGTATCGACTGACCCAAAAAAAATTTCTTTAAATAAAAATAGGTTTTGGTTTTCTGAAGAAATATTCAACCGTCTTTTAGAAAAAGAATTTAGAGTCATTTGAATCAGCAGGCCGGCTCATCGGAATCAAAATAATTTTGACGCATTATTTTGCACCTGCTTTTTAGACTTTTCAAAGACTCTTATCCTCTTTTTGATCACGAGACAGACACTTGTAATTTCACTGATAACTGATACTAAAAACATTTATGTAGTTTGCTGGGGGAACTCATAATTTTTTCCCTTGCCCCCGTTACGTTGATATTCAAAGCTGCAATCTCATTGATTTGTGATATCAAAAAATGTTTTGCTTAACTGGTGGACCTCATAATATTTTCACCTGCCCTAGTTACTTTGATATTCATAGCACAGGTGAGTCATCTGTTTTCAAAGTCAAAACAATGGGCAAACTCCACTTGACTGGCTTCGTGGATAAATGTCAAGTTTTTTCGATCATCAGTTAAACTTTACAAAAAACCTTCGGTTTTTTTTCAATATTGTATAAAAATAATGCAAAATCTTTTTAAAAATTGGATTTGAGTTTATAAGATATAATTTATTTTTTTAATAGCAACATGCTAATTCAATTGTGCAATTCAACATGCTAGTTAAATTTCATTTGTTTAAGGTGAGATCAAATTTGGTATGGAAAAAAGTCCACTCGATTATTGTAAGCAATTAAAACAAGAGCGTGTTATATTAGACTAACACTTCCAATACTACACAGCGAAAAGAAAAATTTGGACCAGGTGAACAATCTTGCCCGAAACCAATACCTATGGATGATTGTTCACTTAGAATAGCATTTTAGTTTTCAGGAAATCAGATTTGAGCATGCATATGCAGGCCTTACGGTTGGATTTGTCAGCTAATTTTCATGAGGTGACTGCGCACTTGGTCTGATAAAGTTGGGGACTGATTACATGGACCCAAAAATTAATGTATTGATCCAGTTTTCTTAAATTGAGTTAATTTTTTTGTGAAAAATATCAGTTAGATATTATTTTGAAATTCAAACCGCTTTGATGCTAATCAATTGTTACTTTAAACTTCGAAAGTGAAAGATTTTCGACAATCATGTCAGTTATTTTTCTTTACTTGCGTTCATTGATTCTTTTCCAACTGTCTGTTGGCTATGTTTCATTATACAATTTGTCAAGAAAAATGCAGGTTTCGACCGTCTAAAGGAAAAACTTTAAATTACCCTCAGTAGCTTCGGGATCCAAATTTCCAATCATCACCATTTATAATTGCGATTTTTGTTCTTTTTTTAATAAATTCATGCGACTGGAAGCCTCGTTGCGGTTTTTTCAATCAAACAGAAAATAAGTTTGTTTGTTCAAATGTTTAGCAATAGTTCTTCATAAACTTTTCTTGTTATGCTAAGAGCTTTCACCAATTGTAATTTGTTTCATTGAATTTCTGAGATTGCTTGAAATTTTTATTCATTTTTCTCTAGTTTCCTAACCTTTTACCAATCTCTGTAGCCATGCTTTTTTTTCAGACGGAACTTGCATTGTTTGTAATGCTCACATGCTTGAGACGAACGATCAAAAAGTAGAACTAGAGAAAGACAGCTCAGAAGATGAAGGGCAGAACACTATCGGAAATATTCGGCCAATTGAAGCTCCAATTCCACGCAGTTAATAACAGGAGCCCAGAACTCTACGCACTGCCTTCGAAAAAAAAAAACCATCAAATTTCATATTTTTAAAGGATCTACAAAGTGTGCCGAACCATTAATCTGATCGATGCGCACTTACTTACGGATGTCATGCAGGGGCAGATCTAGAATTTAGCAACGCGCAGATTTTCAGAAAAATTTCAAAAATTTGTTGACTTTTTGTAATCCGAATTAAAACATTTCATGACTTCTTTTAAAACTCGTAAATTTTCGTGCGGCACACAAACCTGCAAACCGCTCAAAACCAACTGTACATTTTTTTGGAATAACTTTTGGACTTAAAACAGCGTTATTAAAATCAGCGCGCGCTTCTTATTTAAAATTAGTGTATACTTAAGCCACTGTCGGTCAATTTTTTTCAGGTTTGATCGCCAAAAATGAATAAAGTACAAATTGCCAGAGAAATTGTCCTTTGGGCGACCAGCACACACACACACACACGCACACAAAACAACGTCCATGATACCAAATGAATCTACCTGTGCTCACTCGAATATCTCAATTTAAATTTGCTCATAGCTAAGAACTTGATAAATAACCTTTGTTTTCGTATGAAAGTGATTCAAATGTAGTCAGATTAATCCATTGCATGAGTTTTGAAACATATTTAAATTTCTAAAATAAATTACAGGAATGATGAGCACGGAGCTAGTGAAAGATAACTAGCGAAGGATAGATCTAATACAAACTTAAAAACTATTTAATTAGCTCTTTTAATTTTTCCTTTCATTCAGTAGTTTGAAACAAAAGTTGACCAATTAAGCTGCCGGTAAAATAAAACTTGCTCTCTTACAGTTACTTCAAAAATATATTACATTTTTCAGTCATAAAGACCATTAAAAAAGGTGGGGCCATTGAAACTAAGAACACCAAAAGAGCTTATTTTGTTTACAAATTGAGTTATTTGTTGTCATTTTGAGGTAAGGGAACTGTGGTTACGGGCACATTCTTGATTTCACTGAGCTTCGACGATGGTCTCTTCAAAATTGATTTCTGCCCCTTCGCCGGCGGATCATTTTCTGCTTTACCTATTCAAAAATAAAGTTGAAGTGACTCCTTAGTACATCGTTTCAGTTCTTGAGTAACTGGTCCTTGAGCAGTTTGTATGCAGCACTTACTTTTGGTCGCTTTCATGACCTGGCTTGACCCCTGCCCCTCGCCTTCCGCGTCTTGGGCAACGACTATCTTTTCAACTTGCCCACTTTCAGTCACCACCATCGAAGAATGAACCTGTTAAAAGAAAACAAAATTCTGACTTTGAATTTCAAAAAGTCCGATTTTTTCTGTTTTCTTGCGTTCGTTGACTCTTTTCCAACTGTTTGTTGGTTATTTTTGAAAGCTTAATTTTGCTTTTTCTTCCTTTATTTTTTTCTCTTTTCGAGCTGCTCCTTGCCCTTTTAATTTTTCACAAACGAACTAGCGAGCGTCGTGAAATAGTACGACTCTGCTTTTTAAAATCGCAAATAAAAGTGCTTAATTAGTGACACTTGCTATAATCACGATCGCAGGGAGAATCAAATGGCAATTTCCTTCAAAAATCTGGAAGTCTAAGAATTGAACAATGATGATCTCGAATCTCAATACAGAGGCAAACACAAGCGAGAAACCGACAAAAGGCATGCCTATAAATTGAAATAAGAAAAATAGAGAAATCAGTCACGAATTAGTAAAAATTTCGATATATTCCGGGTTCGAACATGTGACCTCGAGGTTGAAACTTCGAAAAATTGCCAGGGCCATTGCAACTTCAGTAACACTAAAACACCCATGAAGCAGCTTTAGATGCTAAAAAAGCCAATAATACAGATCGTGATTATGGTAAAAGCGTCACTATAAATAAATAAAGAAAGTAAAGGCAAAAATAGGCTTTCAAAAATAAAAAAAAGTTAGCCAACAGACAGTTGAAAAAGAGTCAATGAATGCGAGGATACACAAAAGAAAAACTGATTTATTGTTTTTTTTTAAACTTCACTTTTCCAATTTCAAAGCAAAAAAATATATGGCCCTCGAGCTCTCCGAACTTCAAGAACTATCAATGACTGACAATTTTTTTGATATCATTAACTCAATGTGAGAAAACTGGATCAATTTGAAAATTTTTTGTTCCGATGGGAAATCTGAAACCTGAATTCCACTTTCGAAACTAGAAATCGATCAGGTTTTTCGTAACGTTTACACTTTTCTGTTCGATAGTGGAGTTTGAATTGCTTTAAGCAAACGAAATGAACTAAAATTACAAAGAAATCAAAAGTCAAACTGCAAAAAAAATCGAAATGGAGCGTGAACAATTTTTAAGCTTTTCTTGATCGGCCGAACTTCAAGGAGTTTTAACTCCTAAAAACTTATCATCTGCTGGAACCAAACCGCCATCGTGCAGATAACACGCCTTAAGTACTTTCATCGACGCCGTGAGCACTTGAAATTGAAAAACATTAGTCACAAATAAAGCGTACGGGACATATGCAATTAAATTGCCAACGCTTCGCAAAAAAAGGCCACCAAAATTACCACTAGTTTAAAAAAAAACGAGCAAAGTCAAAAGAACATGAAAATGGCATCGATTGAAAGAAAATTTCATAAAAGGTAAGAAAGCTGAAAATACTCTAGCTGCAAATCAACAAGACTTAAAACTATTAAAAAATCCCTCACCCTAACAAAAAAAACACTTTATTCGCTTGTCAAATGGAACAATTAGAGACGATTAAGCAGACATAATACAGACCCAAACCGATCTAGTCGAAAAAAGAGGAGAATGAAAAAAGCCGAAAAAATTTTACTTAAAAATTATCAAGTCCCCCTCAACTTCAAAACGCACACACACAAACTGTTTTCGCTCGTGGAACTACGCAAAAAAATAAGGTTGCCAAGACGCTATAATTTATGCCTAAGCCTATCCAGTCAACAAAAAAAAACAAATGAACTCAACAAACTGAGTTGATAAAACAAAAACAAACAGCATGAAAAAACAAATTTCGAATAGGTCAGGCATTGTAAAAGGTAACAAGCACAAAATATTTCGGTTAATTGATACTACCCTATTATTTGAGGTTGCGCGCAATAACTATATACGAACAAAAAAGCCGAATTTTTTTTTTAAATAAAAAAAATTCCGAAAACTGTTAACTAAATTCCGTGTTTAATTTGTTGATTTTATTAGGGAAGGCTTGAGAGGGCGATTTAGATTTTTCAAAATTTACCATTTTACCATTCTTTGAAAATGTTCACAGAATGGTCAAATGGTAAATTCTATAACAGCTGAATTAATAGTATGGTTGGAGTGTATGAACTACATATATGTACCGTTTTTGAACGTTGTACCTTGAATGAACCTTGGATGAGTTGTTAATTAAATTTTATCTATCCAAAATACAATTCAGTAATTTTTCGTCACCGAGGTCGGTCGGCTTTATTTCCGTCGGCTGATTTTCCTCATGTTTTTTTATTTAAACTGATTAGTTTCAAAGTTTTAGTACCATGTTGCAATACCCTTGCTTATCGCAATGGTAAATACGCTAAGCAAACGATGTCCACGCGAACTTTGTATGTCAAAAATGGAAAGCATGAAGCCAGATTTAAAATGAATTATTCAATTGAAAAAATGAGAGTAGGAAAAAAGAGATATTTAGTAGGTACAATTCTGAAATGCAAGTTTTACACAGAGGCGAAGCTGAGCTTTGCACCGCTTGCAATTTTAAAAAGACTCGATTAAAATCGATTAAAAAAACAAGGAAAAAATCAAAAATTTGAAAAAAACTAAATTAATCAAAATGAATAAAGTTTGTTTTGGAACAAAAATGTTACAATTTATACACAGAGGCGAAGCAGTGCTTCGCGCCACTTGCGATACACAATAGAGCTCCAAAAATTAAAAGATTATGTGTCTTGAACAAAAATTGAAAAACATGAATGAATTTTGTTGAAGAGACTGTAGGCTCAAATATCAGAAAAAATTCTTTGCAAATGTTATAGAGGTTACCATTACCTCCAAAACAAAAGAAGGATTTGGGCCTAACGTTTCGGTCAAAAAATTAGAAATTATAACTCCGAAATGTATTCAAAAACTGTTCATTAAATCTTGCAACCAAGCAATCTTCATATGCAATACGAACAATCGGGGGGTAATGGACCTATCCGCTATAGTGTAAAATGAAAATGAAAAAAAAACCAAAAAGGCCAAAATGAAAAAAAATTTTCAAACACATGAATGCAAAAATTACAAACTATTTCCACGAAAAAGAACTTGCAGAAAGTCTGAAAAAACTCTGAAAGCCTATACAAATAACGCAATTATATCAAGAATTATCAGTTATGAAAATTATACGCAACGAAAAGAGCTAGATCACAACACAAAACAATAACATTTAAAAACACCAAAAAAGGAAACAAACAAATATATTCAAAAGTTTCAGCCAGAAAAAACCCCACGCTTAAATCTCGTGGAGAACTTGCCGCAACATTCGATCATGAATCAAATTTGCAAAAAAAAAATCTGGAAATTTACCATTTTTTGAATTTTTTTGACAAATTGAAACAATAAGTTGAATCATCAACTTGAATCAATTTCAAACAAAACTGCTTAAACCTAAGACACCTAACTGATTAAATTTCAAAATAGTTTCACGCATTTTTAGAGCAAAAAAATCAAAATAACGCATCCAAAAAATAAAACTGAAAATTTATGTGTTCTAGCAGTAAAACTAAAAAAAGTTGTATTTCTAAAAAAAAAATTTGGCGCCCATAAAAAGCAGAAAAACATGAATTATACTTACCATCTTGAAAATGACGAAAAAAATAACAGAAATCTACCAAAAAAACTTACAGAATTAATTAACCGGCCGACAAAAATTGGGTCGAAATCAATAAGGCCGACAAAATATCAATTTACATCTAGAATTTTGTTTTCAGATGTAAAACAATTATTTTTTTAGTCGCTTAAGCCAGATTTTGAATTACAGCTTTTAGACTTAGAATTGCATCTTGAGTAGAATAGAGATACATTTGGAGATCAAACTTCAGTCATCCTGTGGACAAAACTGTTTACCAGGAAAAAAGTTTAGTACCCGATTGCAATACCCTTGCTTATCGCAAGGGTAGATAGTGTAAATTGGCATCAAATGAAATGTTACAAAGTTGCAATAAAGCAGAAAAAACATTAGCAGAAACCCTTTAAGCCAAAAGAAAAATTCAAGACTTAAAAAAACCTCAACCTCAAAACACACACAGACACAAAAACTTTATTTTTAGGTCAATTTGAACAATAGGAAGCTATTGAGCCGATATAGTATAGGCCGAGACATACTACGCCGAATAAAAAAAAGAAAAAAAATCAAACAAACTTAAGAGTAATAAAAAGTTATTAGGCCCCAAATCCAAACACACACAAAAATTTTTCGTGTGTCAAACGGCGCATAAAAAGACCACTAAACCGATATAATTTCGGCCAAAATCTTTGAGCCAAAAAAAATAGAAAATAAAAAAAGGCGAAGAAAAAATTCAAAAAATTCAAGACTAATAAAAGGTTATTAAGTCGCCCTCGCCATCAAAATACACACACGCACAAATAAAAAAAAATTTCGCTCGACGGAAGACGCATTATGAGACCATTAAACCGATATAAAATAGGACTAAACCTATCAAGCAGAAAAAAGGAAACTTAAAAAATCTGAAGAAAAAATTTGAAAAAATGTAAGACTAATTATTTGTTATTAAGTCCCCCTCACCTTCAAAAAACATACACGCAAAAAAAAATCTGCTTGTCAAACCATCTAGCACAATATGAGGCCACTAATCCGATATAATATAGGTCGAAATCTATCATGACGAAAAAAAATGAAAAACTAAAAAAAATTAACAAATAAAGTTGAACAAATTACAACCAAAAAGAAATCCAAAAGAACAGATTATTTTAAATGCTAATTTGCACCTTACCGGTGCATGGTAGCAATTTAGTGGCGGTAAATTTAATGGTTGCTAAAAGAGGCTCCCAGGAAAAAAGTCCAGATGAAAAGAGAGAGTCCTGTGAACAAAGTTATTTACGAGAACAAAAAAGTCTAGTACCCAATTCCAATACCCTTGCTGCCTCAAAGGTGCCCAAAAAGTGCATCAATATTTGCAACTTGGGTTGATGAAAAAAGAATAACCGCATTTTTACACTACGCTCGCTAAAGCTCATGAGTGTAAAACCACAGATGCGAAGCTGCACTTTCGCAAATTCGAGCAACAAATCGGCAGCAATTTGTGAGCTTAAAAATGCACAAAAACTAAGTTTTGTATTAGGGCATTTTGGAATATAATAAATTAGAGGCGATCACACTAACTTTGCATGTAAAAAAACTATCATTTATTCAGCCAAATTGCGTATAAAACATGGATTTCAAAATTCTCGCGAATTATATTGACTTATAATGACTTATATTGCAAAGGGCTTTTTTTCTGTTCAATTGATGAATTAAAACGCAATCTTATTATTAATCAAATGTCAAAGCGACCTATTTGCGACTTAGGTTGAAAAAAAAATGTTGCAACGCACTATCACACTACGCCACGCCTTTGTAAAAATTCATTATCAACACTCATTACTAATACATTAGATCAATCTTAACAAAATCCCTAGAATTGGCATCCAACCTTATTCACAGTGAGGTCGTTCAAATTTGGTGCTTCCACGCTAGACATTCGTCTCTGCTTCTGCTTGTCAATGTACCTAAAGCAAAAATTCATTTTAAAACGCCCAAAATGGACCACTATATTTCAAATTTAGCAAAACAAATTTGTCTTTTTTGATAGCTTTGAAAAAAGGACAGCTTTTCATTATGCTCTATTCTCTGGAAAGAAATAGTCCAAAACGACACTCCAAAGTCATCGAGCCCAGAAAACTAACCTCTAATACATATTTTCTAACTTTCAAATAAGAAATCTTTCTAATTCGAGGCTCAGAAAATTATCAAATCTGTTTTTACCAAAACAGAATTTTTAAATCTCCCAGCCAACTTGACCTTCAATCACCTTTCTTTGTTCACGCGCAAACTATCTCGTCCCGCCGATGACCTCGTCGACAATCTTGCTTCACCTTCAACTGAAGAAACCTCCAAATTGTCGTCATCCTCTTCTTCGGCACCACTCAAATGAGCATCTCCATGTTTGGATACGGCACCAACAGCAGCTGCCGATTCCTCGTCGTCGTCCGACGAGATCGGCACATGATACCCGAAACCATGACCGACTCCGTTCGGATTTTTGTACCGATCACTTTTTACGTAGTCAGCTGCTGTCTCGTAGTTGACATTCGAAGCTGCATTTCTGAAAAATTACAAAAAAATGAACCCGGAAATCTCTACTGCACATTTAAGGGTAGGTTTCGAGTAAATGAAAAATAATTGAAACAAAACAAAAGAAATAGCTTGTAACTTGTTTTAGTGTATGATTTAACAGAATATAAAAACGAAAAACAATAATATACACCCACTCTTTTGCTCGATTGTTGACCTGTTGCAGTAAAGTGATGCCATTCTTTTCACATTCTTCTATTTCACTCAGATATTTAATCACACAAAGTCCTTGCGCTGGTGGTCCTAAAAATAAAATAGGAGATAGTCTCAAAAAATTACATCTACATCCTTTTTAATTGAAAATGATGGGAAAATTTTCCAGAAATAATATTTCACGGCCCCTTTGCTACCTCGCTGAAGAGTTTTTCCTTTCATTGGTCCAAAATTATGAAATGTATGTCAAAATGTATGTTAAACTTTCAAAAATTCTGATGAGAGCGAAAGATGTACTAAAACCTTTTTAATCATTATTCACTTTCTGAAGGTTAACGCTTGAAAACATTTTAGTGTCGAGAAGAAAACAGCTGGGCGCCTTTTGGAAACTTGATTTACTTTTGCCAAGTCATTTTTACCTGACATGGGTTTTCCATCCACCAAAATAGGCTCAAGGGCATCAGACGACACTTTGACGTTCACAGTTTTGTTCAGCCAGTCTTCGTATTCTTCAAACAACTCCTCTACCTTGAACAAAATGTCACTGACATGCAAGCCGCTCCCAGTTAGCAGTAAAAACAAAAATGAAATGAATTTCATGTCCTGCAATTCCATAAAATTCAATAGATTGTAGCAAAAGTTCGGTCTACACGTCAACTGAAATCTCGTCAAATTTTCCTCAAGATAAAAACGGACCATGAAAATTTGAAAAGCACCAAAATTTATTTCAAGCAATGAACTGCCAAAAAAGTAGCTAATAAACAGCAAATTTTTATCAGTGAACCAAAAATTTCCTTATCGCAACATGTTAACCAAACAACCCCCTCCCTCGGCCATTTTCAACCAACCTCATCATCATAACTAAGTGCCTTGCCTGTATCATGAAGTACAGCTGCTGGTTCTCCTGGTGAGAATGGATGCACCTCAGTTTGTCATACAGAGCCCGAACTCGCCATGCCCTGACGTATGTCTGGAGGATGATGACTGCTTTCAGTTTGGCCAGTTTGCCCCACTTGAAACTCCAGCTAGCGTCACTCAGCTTCCGTCTCACCAGATATCCCCTCCATGCTGAATACACAATCAGATAAAGATATTTCTTCATTTTCATTTCGGAAACCCTAAATCATTGACTGAAAAAGATGCAGCATATGCGGCGGACAAAGACCTTTAAAAGCATATTCTACAAAAAAGGCAGTTATCAAACTGATGACAAAAAAAACTTATCGGATCAGACAATAAATAAATTGTCATACATGATTGTATCATGAGAGTGGCTTCTTTCCTTGCTCCCAACTGAGGTAACACCTCTCTCCTCACAAGGTAACCTCGGACAGCTGAAAAGGTTTAAAAAACTTATCGACATAGTACAGAAATTTTGTTGAAATCCATTTCACGTCACATAAAAAAAATCCGTTCCAAAAAAAAACATTCAAATATTCAACTAGTCGACAAAAAATGGCACAATAGAAGAGAAACTTCTAGTTGTTTTTGGCTTTCTAGTTGTTTTTTGCTTTCATTTGAAACCTGTCACCTTTCTGAATGACGACCGCACTCTTCTTTCTCTTCTCATTGAGGAGTCGGCGTCTCCTGCGGATGATGAGTCCCCTCGCATATCTCTGCAGAGTCACTGCGAACCTGATCACCCGACTCAACTCATGATCCAGTTTCTCCTGATGAGCGTAACTCAGAAACACCTGGGAAAATGAAAGACTTTAACCAATCAACTTAAGTCAAATTATTGGTTTTCATCCATAAATCGATCGCACAAGCTTCTGAAACCAATTTGACTATCGTAGAAGAAACATTTTTGCTCCGTAACAAAATGATTATAACCTTTAAATAAATTTCAAAAAAGTCATAAGCAACCAGGATAGCCGGTTGCTGTGCAAAAAGCACAGAATGTACCGACCATATTCTTAAAAAACACCGAAAAACGTTTTCTTCAAATTAATTTCAATTCTTTTTTGTGCGTGGTGTGATCAAATGATCAGAACAGAAGGCTAAATTTTATTCATTTCTAATTTTCAAAAAAAGTCATATTGGAAAATAGTTTTATAATGAAAAATCACTAACGATAAAAAACATAAAAATGAAAAAAAATTTCTATTTTTTTTTGCATATTTTTATCGAAATTTTGAAGTTTTTATTCACAAGATGGCGATAAAACAACTTAGAATTTATATTTTACTAGAATTTTCAGGGCTTGAATAAAAATCCATGGCTTGTTCACTAGTAATTTGAGACTATCCTTCTAGATACTCGCTCAAATTAAAACCAACAATTTCAAATAGGTTTTTCTCGACATTGAGAAACTTTTCAAGTCGTTCGAGTCACAATAGAAAGAACTTCATTATGGTTTATCATTCAACTCAGTCCGAAAATTTGTGTGAAATCTGATTTTCGTGAAAAAAAAATCAAACTAAAATAAAAACGAATACAAAGTTCCTCCTCTTTTTCAATGGTCGGAAAAAAAGAGAAAAAATTCCGTCATCAAAAAACAACAAAAAACAAACCCAATTTGAAAGATGTCTTTTTAAATCATATTCGTAAATTCGTTGAGTAAATTGAACCACAATATTACAGAATTTTTAGACGTTTTTGACTATAAGCTCCTTGCGATAAGCAGTTGTTGTTGTTGTTGCTGTTGTTTTAGTCCCACGAGGGCGCGTCGACATGCTCAAATCAAGCCCCAGAAGCCATGTGGGGCAAACGCCATGTTGATTTTGGGCTTTGAGTAGAAATTTGGTTAGGATGGGATGGATTGAAAGGTTGAAAAAAAATGACAGTTGGGCTTAAAACCGACAGTGGGCGGTACTAGTCTGAATATTTGATATCTTTGTTTGGTTTCGGTAGGAGTACAATGTAGGGAAACTTGTAAGGAGGAAGAGAAATATTTATATAAATTATTCAAAATGCTATTGCTATTGGTCCGATATCTTAAGGATGGACTGTGCATAGACCACCCGGTCTAATGCGTTTGAGGACTATGTCGCTTTGTTATTCTCAGTTTAATTTAGGAATAAAAATTAGTTAGCCTTCGAGACTAAGTTTAAAAATTTTTGATCGTAATTGCTTTTTGAGCTATATAAGTTGTGTGGGTTGTACGTTAAAATAATTGCACGTTAAAAGAAATTGCATTGTCTAGCGGTCTTGAAAATGTTGTGATTGAAGTTAATTGGAAAAGTTCCTACCACAAACTTGCTGCCATTTATTGACCAGACCACTTTCTAGAGCTTACAGGACAGTTTGGAGTGATTAAAAAAATTGGAATAATTCTCGCTATTTATTTTCTTTGTCTTCAAACGTTTTGGACAGTATCTCTTGGTTTACAACATTTAAAAAAGTGGGATCGGTTGAAAAATCTGATTCGATTTATTTGTTGAGCAAATTTCTTTTTATCGAGGGCTGGAATAAAGAAACAATGCCGACCACCGGAAGTATGTGACGAGCTACAGCAAGTATCGTGTGTGTCACGAAATGTCCATTCTTGGGCGTTTACATCGAGCGGCAAGGGTTCCTTTGCTCAAACCTCCTCAACTTCATTGGTAACAATTTTTTCTGACTGCCTTTTTGAAAATAAAAATTTGCGGGGAACGAACGGTATACATATTCTGCCATTGGGAGGCTAATCAACAAGCGGAGATGGTCGGAGCCTAGCTTCAGAAGTGTTTGCATTGAAATATTTTTTAAAAAAATAGACGGCAAGCCAAAGGAAAGATTTGGCAATGCTGACGTTTTACTATCGTATAAGAGCTTATTTTGATGATAGTGTTTTAGCGCTGTAAAAATACATTCGATTATTTCGGCTCTGAGTCTGGCCCCACATTGGTCTTCGGGGACTTTGGAGTACCAAAGAGGGGAGTTAGCATTAGCGTCAGCGAGGGCGATAATGTTTTCACCAGAGCTTCAGAGGAGGCTATACAATCTTTGGTGCAGCTAGAGCGAGGAAGGATGTACAAACTTTTTATACAAATATTTTGGTGATTGACCTTTACTTGAACGCATTGCGCCTCCAAATTACCGTCCTCGCTATTTCTAGTTCCTTGTATAGAAGGGAATGACGATTGGCAGTAAGGAGTTCGTCTACCTCCCTCTCGAGTACGCGCCTTTCTAATAATTTGGGCCCAGCGAGGAAAAGCGATTTTTTAGATTCAACTATGTTTCTTGAAAAAACGCAAAATAATGCTGCAATTTCGGTTGCTTTCACAGTGATACCATTACAATTTAATAGAAGAATCTTCAGAAGCGTGGTAGAGAAGGGGTTTTCTTGGTTCTATGACCAAGTTGAGGGGTTCGTTACAGTAGGCGGGTTTGAGTCATGACGCAAATTATGAGTTTGATTGGTTACAAGGCGAGGTGCGACTTAGTTGGGAATTAGTTGTTGAAGTGATATTTGTTATGGGATCGCAAATAAGATCAGTGTAAGGCAGTAAACAGTTAGATAAACTAGTCGAAATGGTGACAAGAATAACCAATTGTGGGCAAGCAGTAAAAAAAGTTCCGACCACAGTTATCTAAGTTACGTTAATAATCAAATTAGTTTTTTTTCAAACTAATTAACATATTTTTAACCATTTTTGTAGGTGATGAGAGGAGTTCGTTCTGAAAAAAGTCTGCCTAAATGAAATGGTTGTTGCTTAAGTCAAAATTAATCGCAGTAGAGTTATATAGCAATACACTACCTCAATCTGAAAACAATTTCAAACCAATTTCCTTGAGAATGAGACCACTTTTTAAAATTGTATTTTTTAAAATTGTAATTCGAATTGCAACCAATGGGTTTTTTCAAGAAATCACACTTCACCCCTAGGGGCTGTTGTTGAGGGACCTATAGTTCGGCGAAAAAAACTACCATATGCCGAAGTTACTTCCTTTCACCTCGTTACGTGGAGCAAACAATGACTGTTGCTCTGAAAAATGGGTGCACCTTAGTCTTTCCGATTCTGTATCCGCCGGATTGGAGTGACTTCTCCAGGATCTCTCTGGCAATCTCTGCAGTGGACTCCAGCTGGTCAGTGGCTCCAAACAGGAGTATCTTGTACTTCTCAATGAACTCGGAGAAAGTGGGTCTGTACGAGAAACCCCCTTGACGTATCTTACAAACCTTAACACAAATAATTTCTTTTGTCAACAAGAAAAACTATAAGCATCTTTGGAGATATTTTTTTTGCCAGAAGCTAGAACAGTGTTGACTTACATAAAGTATTGTTTCTCAAAAGCATGTCAAACAGTAGAGCTTCTATTCTTCGTTAAAAAATACTGACCTCCACAATACCAGAGTAGCGAAGTTGACTCATCATTTTGTCCTTGTCGATTCTGTGGGGCACCTTGTCATTATTTGGCTTAATGCATCTGAAAAAGAGGAGTAAAAAACTACTCATTTCTTCGTTTTATGCTGGAATGTTAACTCAAACGATTATTTCGAATGAAATGAAACTGTATCAGCGAGAAGCTGGACTTCAATGGTATATTCACAGTACAATTAAAATTTGCAGGTCAATTAAGAAATTTACGCGATGAAATGAGCATCCATAGAAGTCAACAGTTGAGTCAGCTCCATCAGTGAGTACTAAAACAGAAAGAACAAACTTTGTTTTCTGATCAATGCAACAAAAAAAAACAATAAATAGTAGCCTAGAAGACTGACCCTAAAAGAGGCAGATGTCGATTGTTGATTGGCCCTCTGACTTAGAGCGAAGTTGGTTCCAACTGGCTTCGTCTTGAACATTGCAGAAGTGTCAACCTAAATCAAACCACTCAAAAATAGACACTTTATTTATTTTTATTCTATTTATTTATTCATCATGAGCAATCTAACATTCGATAACAAAATTTACAATTTGCAGTTTAGCTCATGATAGGACAGCCAGAAATTTTGATGGTAGGAATACGAAAATTTGCATAATGTAACGAAAAAAAAAAGATTCTTACTTTCTTGAAATGAGTGTTGGCAGCTGGGACATTAGGCGGCCTCACTTTAGGTTTTCCACTTTCCCGAACGTTCACGAAGTGTCCTAAAGAACAAGAATGGATAAAGCATTTTTTCTACTTCGAACTTAATACTGGTTGCCGACTTGTACTTTGAACAAATTGTTGAACAAAGGAAGAAACTGTCAAACGTATTAGCAGTTCGGCCGACTCACCTGTGCGTGATATGGGCTGGGAGAAGAGACTCTTCACCAGCGGATTGTCACTCTCCCTCAACACTTCGATGACGTCAGCAGACAGTCTGTCTCTGTTCTTGTGCAGCAGCTGTCCTGCATCATACGCCACCTGAAAACATAATCAGGGTAATATTTTCATTCAATTGAGCTTGAGGTTCCCCAAAAAAAACATTTGAACTATTTTTCTTGTTTTCTTTTTAAAATATCTGTGATGTTTATAATCTTCTAATCAAGTCATATATACAACTTATTTTCTATACAACTTATTGTCTCGGTTAGGGTTGCGAACATCAATTAAGGTACTGAATATCAAGAAATCTCGACATGAGATCTATAGAACATGCATGTCTCAAGCTAAATGCTTCTAGACAAAGTCACTTAATAAAAATGTTTTTTTTTTATTTTTGAAGATTCTCATCATGAGAAGTTGAGGACCAATTCAAGTGACGAAGAAAAAATTTTGCAGCAATAAAACAAGTCCAGGTCAATAAAAAATAACCTGGCCAGCGAAATGGTAGATGCCGAACAGTCTCTCCCCATGTCTAGGACGCCAGAAGCAATCGCTGCTCAGGTGCTGGTTGAACTTCTCTGAAACATGATAAAAACTTAAGATTAGATTAATGAATAACAGTATCTAATCTGACCAAAAAAATTCACAAAATTCTATCATGAATTTGGTCTGTATAGCAACATTTTCAAAGAGCATGCGAATGGAAAATTAAATCTTATGAGCCATCAATACTTATTTTCCGGGTAAAGTTATAACCAAAGACGTCAAAAAAGCTATTTAAAGTGTGGAAAATCTGTACCACGAGCTAATTTCTGGAATAAGGAATATGAAGAAAATGGTGAATGTAATAACAAAAATGGTACCTATTAAAGTGTTCTCATTAGATCGTGGGAATTTTGACTCCTCGTCTAGCAGGGCAAACAGTCCGAATGGTTTCCCGAGGAATGTGTCCAACAGGGCTGTGTTGTCCTCATACTCCACGACCACTACTCCACTCAACTTCTCTTCTTCAATGTCCATCTGAAATATTCATTTTCGTTTTCAAGAGTTACCAGATTGTACTGAATTTTAAAACCACAATTATAAAGATCTATTTTCATTAGATGGTCTATCCACCGCTAGTAAGAAAACGTAAGTGGTCATGGGAACAGTACAATTGCACATGATATCATTCGTGGTTTGTTTCTTGTGAAAATATGCCTTTTACTTTATACCAAAATTTTTGCTTCGGTATTCTAAACGCCCAATGAACTACAGTACTTTTTTACGTTTTTTTTTCATAATAACCACGCTGATTTTCTTTTTAAAATTGAGTTCCTTTTAAAAATGTAGAATAATTAAAATTGTCTAATTTCCTCAAGAAAACAGTTCAAACTGTTTCTACTTTTGGCAATGTCACCTGTTCTGCCTTGAAGAGACTTTGGTTGAAGTAGTATTGCAGTTGCTCATTGGTAACATTGATGCATAGTTGCTCGAAGGAGTTCTTGTCCAGGTCCTCAAATCCAAACATGTCCAGAATCCCGATGCACAGGTCACTGAAATAAAAAATTATACTATCAAGCATTATAAACTTTTATATGGTATTTCTAAACAGCACAGAAAAATTTAAGTCAGTGTCTTGTGAAGTAACTCTTTGAAACGCCCTTGTGGTAAAAACCTGAGCCGCCGTAACCATGGCAGGTAAATATAAAAGGTAGAACGAAAAATTTAATACAGATGCGAAGCAAAAACACCATAAACTTTAGTTATATTCTTGAAACTTAAGGAAAAAAAACTAACGAAACTTACCGAAATAAAATATCCGGCCAGTAAGCCGACAGAGTCAATTTAAAACTGAAATAATGTGCAATCACGAGGTGAGTATAAGCAGCATGATGCTTCTCATAAAACGAATCAAAATTAGGTCACTAAACCGGTTAAAGATGGGCTGAAATCATTTGAGCAGAACAATGTTTTTAAGCAAAAAAAAGAAACAACAAAAAAGAAAATATACGAAATCAAGGTAAGTAAAATTACAAACAGAAGTAATTCAAAACACTAAAAGCAACCACATTGTATATTGCGCACAGCAATAAAAACATTTTTAGGATGTAACATCAAAGCTGACAAAACATAAGTGGACAAATAGACAAATTAAATGCTGAAAATTCAAACAATTTCTACAAACAACCTTGCAGAAAATTAGAACAAAACTCTGAAAACGTACAAAACCCCATTCACACCAAAGTTATCAAAAAAAACTTGATACACAACGTTAAGAGAGCTGGGTCATAACAACAAAGAGAACAAAAAATAAGAGAAAACGGTATGAAATATTCGAAATAATGAAACAGAATATTTACCCTGTAACATACAAAATTAAAACGGAATATTTCCAGTTTGAAAAAAAGGTCCTGCTAAACTTGAACCCAGGAACTTTGCCGCCCTTGGCGTATTCGTCGAACCTCCAGACCAAGTGTGCCGGGGACGCAAAATATTTTGAATTTATTATGAACTGAACCTAAATCTACAATTTCTTCTAATCGACCATTCTGTGAACTAAGTTATTTACGGATTTACGGGGGAAACAACTGAGCCTAAAATGAACCTGAATCTACAATTTCTTCTAATCAACCATTCTGTGAACAAAGTTATTATCGGGGGGGGGGGGATCTAGTTAGTGCCCGGTTGTACTAGCCTTGATGATCGCAAAGGGTATTATCTTAAAACCATATATATTTAAGCATATGCTTAAGGCTCTTAAGTTAAGATGATTTATTCACAAGGGAATGGATCAAAACTCTAATCTTCGCGGAATACCGTTGTTGTATCCCTGCTTAAGAACTACATGCAATTGTTACGGTTATTTTTCTGCGTTGGGTAATGTTGCCTCAACCTCAAGCAACGAGTACCGATCGTGGTGGGTCTTGAACATCCGACCTTTAGATTGCGAGTCGTTGACGTAACCACTTTACCACCGCTCCCTAGTTTGTGTGGTTAAAACCTCAATTTGTCTACAACCAAAATGCATTTAAAGCGATGCAACTTATACCTCTGCTGGCTGTCAGTCTTGAGCAGTACGTTAATTCTGGCAACCAGCCAGTTGAACAGTCTAGAGTACAGAGCCCTGGAAACTGCATCTCTGGATGAGTCTGCCTCTCTAGGGGTCAAGTGTCTGATCACGCCCTCATCTTCGCTTGTATCCAGGTGCTCTTTAGTAAGTGCAAGCGATACTATTGTCTCGTTCAGACCCAACAGCTTGCACACTGAAATAGAAAACTTTAATTAATTTTGTTTCTTTGCATCGCAGCAAATCTATCAAGGCTGTCGAGCATGTCTAAAGACAGTCCGAGAGCGCGTCCTCACAACCTACCATTGCAATTTGTTCAAGTGAAAAAGGACACACGTTGATTTCATAGTTTTCAATAGGTTCACAAAAATAAGTCTTTTTTTAGCAAGAAACGAAACTTTGGAAAATTTCAGTTTGGGGATCACTGCTGGAATCGATTCGCAAAAAAATAAAATTGTCTTAAGATAGCTGATAAAGCAATGAAAAATTGAAATCATTCAGTTTTCAGAGCGTGAACTTGTTCGCAAAAAAAAATATTTTATAAGCAAACTCATCAAGCGATGAAACTTTGAACAATTGAAACTCTAGCGCCCAAGTTAGGTTATGAATTAGAATACAAATGGTTTATTATAATTTCAACACAATTTTTACTTTATCGTAAGTTTCAATAGCAGATTCCCATGTCAGCAATACGATGTACGCATTGCTGACTAGATGTTGACTACAGTTATAGATTACCAATTTCGATTAGATTCGTTGACCAAAAAGGATGTGACGAACAATTTGGCATTCACGATATAGCTGCTTTCTCAAAATTCAATTTCAAGGTAATCGGACCCTAGACATCGCAAAATAATTTGTCTACATTTGATATTGACCTAAATGTCGCTCTTTTGAAGCTGGAGTTCATCCATACTTTAAATTACATGAGTTTTCGTTAACGATTGTCCCCTATAAAATAGCTTTTTCATGCAAAAATGAAAGATTAGGCATTGTATTGTGTTCATGGAGATTTTGGCTTACGTTCAAAAATATATGCTTTATTAAGTCACTTCGATTATGTTTTTCGGATTTTAATTTTTATAAAAAAACGTTTTCAAGTCGTCTAAACTTCTGTTGATTTTTAATCTTTTTAACTTGAGAGAACCCATTCTATATCCATTATCTGATCTCTCAACGGCAATCAAGGAAACAGTTTCTGGTTTCGATAACTTCTGCATTGGTCCTTACCTAACTCAAGTGTGTCTGTGTTGTCGATCTCACTGGTCTCGGCGTAGTCATCGTTGTCTCCGTTGATGAACTCGATCTCTCCCAGATGCAGAATGGCGGCCAGCACACTATACGCATCCTCCAATTCCTAATTAGTAATGATACTTAATGAAATTAAATAACATAGCACGCCTAATTTGAGAAAACTGGATTAATAGATATTATTCCGTTGATAACGTCACTTTGAAACTAAAACTCAATATGTTTATCAATTAAAGAGAAAATTTTTTGGCATTTCAAGATTCAAAAAATCTTTGATATTATTGTTACTTGTGGCGTCTCTGATCACAATTAAAAAAGGAAAGGAAATAAAAAAGACAGCGAGATCGAAAAAATAGCAGTCGTATTACTCAAAAATTATGCCACGGAAGTTTTCCAACAAACGACAATAACAACTAAGCCGACAATATTTTAGCTACACTTTGACACACAGGCAACGACTTAACCGAAAACAAATTGCAAAAAAGTCAGAAAAAATCTGTTAAATCATTTACATAAATATATTAGCTCTAGTAATTCCTATACTCAGCGAAATCATCTTGCTGTAATGTATTCACTTGTTGAAATAAACTCGTGTCCATGACCATGAATGTAATATTTTTCCAAGGAAAAAGTCCAGTACCCCAAAAACAACCTTGAATTGGTGTTCTAACGAACTTGAATTTCGAAAAACATCTTTATAGCTTTTCAGTGGAAGCCTCACCGATTCGAGAAAGCCGACAGTCTTCATGCAGTCTTCCAATTCCAGAAATCTGTTTTTCTGAATAGTCACAACTGCCAATTCATCTTCACTTGCAGACAGTAGAGCCCCATTCACTCCCAAGTACCTGAAAATAACCGAGATATATCCAAATTGAAGAAGTGAGGTAGATGATACAATACGTGCAAAATGAAAAAAATTCTTTAAAAGTTTAACATAGCAAACAGACAATTGGAAAAAATTTCTGAAATAGAACCGAGTAGCACGCCAAGAATGGGAGGGGGGTGTTATTGGCCCAAAAAGTTCCCCTTTGGTATTATTTTACAACATCTATTTCAAACCGAACAACCCTAAAACTAATAAAAACGCATTTGTGCCAGTGTACGCTAAACTTGAGGAGGAAGTGCGACAAAAACGCAAATTCAATAGTCAAAACCTTCCAGAAGATTTATCAAAAACGGCTTTTTGGCTTTTTTTGGCTAATTTTCTGAAGTCTTTGGGTTGAATAAGGTCTTTATAATAACTTGCGAGGGCTCTGAAAGTCAAATTTGGCCGACATTATGAAAGAGAACAAAATCGACAAATCGAAAAAAGGTGTTATTTAATGACAGTAGAGCACTTTAGTTTGCAAGTTGGGTTGGAAAAAAGGAAATCGTAGTATAACACTATGCTCTGTAGATAGCACGTGTAAAAAATGGATCGAAAGAAATTTTTTTATTTCGCTAGAAACAATGCTAGTTATAGAGTTATATGAGTATTGTGATTTTTTATTTCACATGATTTTAAAAAAAATAAAACCTCAATTAGTAAAAAAAAAACAGGCCACGATTTTAAAGCATGATTTTTTCAAATAAACGTTTTCTAGCCAGAAACAAAAAAAATGAAATTTGACACAGAGGCGAAGTTGCACTTCGCATACACAAGCAAAAATATGACCGACAACACTACTGGGGAAAAATGAATGAGTAAAACTTTGAGTCTACAAAATTTCTTAAGTGACGCACGCCAATTATGAGTCTACATTATTGCTAAGTGACGAAAGCTAATTATGACGAATTAGCAGTAACAGTCAATTTGAAAAGAAAATTACCAACTAACATGCCTCAAATTATCGAGCGGACGCATTTTAACTAGTATCCGAAAAAGTTCATTAAAACATCCGACCCTGCCCAGGTTCGAACCCTCTTATTTTGCAGCTGGTCTCCTTCCCTACCTCTACGCTACAGAACCATGATACCTTGAAACTAAAGAGCTATTTGTAATATAATAGTCTGTGTTAATATCCTTAGCCTTGGCTGTACTTAATAGCTGGATCAAAATGAACACTTTCAAAATGAACACATTTTGTCGCAACAATTGCATCGCAACAATATTTGCGACTTAGCTTGAAAAAAAAGGAAAATTCAAACTATAAAACAGGCTATGCTTATGTAAAAAATAATTCTGTGAAAAACTATTTAAATGGCGAATCTCCTAGTGAATACTATCTGTGAGATTGTTGCCACTTCCTATTTCAAAAATTTCCTTTTGGTGAAACTTCTTGATTACTGTGTTTCAGGACCAACTCAATAATAAAGCACGAAAATTTAAATCCTCCCCCCTCCTAAAAAAAACAGTTGGGAAGGGACAGAAAGATGTAATCTTGGTTCTTAGCTGAAATTTTCAGCCAATCAGAAAATCTAATCCGATCTTAACTTGATCCAATCTTTGTTATTCTCTTTTATGAAAAATATGTATATTTATCATACAGTACCCATTTATGGCTATAGATTTTCACACGGAGGCGAAGCTGCGCTTCGCAAACACTAGCGAGAACAGGACAAAAAAGCAGCTTTATAAGGTGAAATAAGAAAAAATAGAAATGCGCCTCGAATTAGTCAAATTTCGCTACGCATTGGCATCGAATCTGCGACCTCGAGAATTAGAGTCTCACCCCTTCTAACCTCTCGGCCACGAGCACGTAACAATCGGCGAACATTAGTCACAAATTAAACAGCTACATATCCTAATTAAAGCAATGCAGCAAAATTGGCATCAAATACAAATAGAAAAAATTTTGCCAGTAATAATTTGGATAATAACAAATTGAAGGCATCCACACTAACTTTCCATGTTAAAAATTGGAAATCAGAAAGCCACATTATGTAAAAAAAAATGCATGTTAAGAAGATGTGAGATATATGGAGTAAGAAAATTTCTCAAATATAGCTTTTTTCGGTTCATTTGATTAATTAAAAATGCATCAACTGTGTTAACATATTACTATTCGAATGTCAAGTACATGCTATTAAAAAGCCGTAAAGGTGCAACCAAACGTTTGCGTAAAGGTGCCACCGATAGGTTTGCGACTTAGGCTGGGCATGATCAGCGATTTCTTACTTTTATTAAGTTTCTGATAAGTTTTTTCTTCGAATTTGAAGCTACAGAGACTTTTTATTCTGACCTGAAGTATAGGTTGTCCAACTGGTACTTTTTCTGCATTTCAGGTCTGCTTATGACACCAGCGAACAGGTAGTAGAACACGTGGAAGTTACGCTCACCCCTAGAACATAACAAACGTATATTGTGACTCTTTAACACTGTTTTAGTCCGCATTCAACTTGAAAATTGCTAGAAAAGATAGAAATGGTAGTTCTATTGCCAACAACCTATAAAATATTGGTAACCAATGAAACATAAATACAAGTAATCTTTTCCAACAAAAAAAACTAATATAGTTGATTTTTAATGACAACACGCTTCACACTTGAAAGCAGGCTCATTTCTCACTTTAAACCGCGAGCTGAGCAGAAAAGTTTTGCTTATAAACTTACATGTTCTGATTAGTCACTCTTGTTTTCTCCAATAGATATTCATTAATAGACGCCCCAGTGAATTGAAAATTGTTCGGGTTGAACTTAATCTGGAGCATCTTCGCATATCGACTCGAGTTGTCATTAATCAGCGTCAGAGCATTTCCGAATGCCTCTAGAATTGGAGCTACCTGAAGTATCCGAGACTCCAGTGCTTTGAATCTGGGAGGCGCTTTACCCAGGAATGTCAGCTGGGCCATAAGGTGGTTGCTGGTTTCGGTTTTTCCTGATCCACTCTCGCCGACAACCACCAAACACTAAAACGACTAATTAACTATATTTGAAAAATTCACATATTTTAAATCTGAGATTCGTACCGGCCATATAGAGATTAAGAGTATCACACACTAAACTCTCAGCCACGGAAGCTCAATTGTCACCATACTGTAGTCACAGATAGGTCAGAGAACAGATTCTATGCAATTTGCAATGCTACAGTGAAATTTCTACTTAATTGAACATTTTTAATGAAAACTTTTATTTGCGAGTTAGGTTAGAAAATAAAAAGAAGGTTCGTAATAATACACTAAGCTGATCCTAAGTGTAATGAACAGGGAAAAAATTAATTTCAGGAGAAATAAAAATAAAACTTTTCGGATTATCAGCTAATTAATTGTCTGACCTGACTGCGGACTTTGCTGCACATCATCTGGTGCGCCTTGTCTGCCATGGCAAACACGTGAGGGGCATTTTCACTCAGCTGCTTTTTACGGTACCTTCTGCGGTGCTGAAAAGTGATCGATCAAATCAAACAAGCAAAACTAGATAGACACGAGTGTAAAAGACTAATGAAAAAATAAAGACTGAGTTCTATGGTAAAAACACATTCACTTAAATTTTAGCATTTGATCGGTAAATCCCGTTCACATCATTGATCTTATATATAAAGGGCTCTTAGTTAAAATTCAAAGCAAAGTCAAAATTCCGAATTTATTTTTTCATGACAATTAAAATAGAGTCGTAGCTCAAGTTTTAGCAGCCAACAGAAGAAAATACGAGAATAATTACATGTTCCTTGTAAATGGGTAGATGGTTGTAGGGATTCACAGCTACTAACACATCCCCAATGTAAGTGTAGATTTCGTCCTGCGAGTAACGCTTCTTCACATTCGAAAACACCGACTCCTGAAAACCACACATACAGTATGATACAAAAAAAAGATCGCCTTTTCATTTAGTCTTGATTCGCTTTTTGTTTTTTTTTCCAATATAATCACCAAATTGCCCCTATTGACCTAACCTAATAATGACTCTCTCTTATTATTTTAAAAGTACCTATCCGAATGGTTATGCATGGACCAACTTTGAATATTAGCAAAAACCTTCGACACTAGTGGGTAGGGGAATGGGTAATGAACAGTGGTAGGGAAATGGGTAATGTTCAAGCTATCGCTATCTTCTTTGGCAAAAGAATGACTCGTTTAAGACTCTAACGAGAGTGAGTTCGCTCATGATGGCCATGTCTGCGAAGGTAGGGATCTTCTGCTGATTTTTCTTCTTTCTGGCGGACTCCCTCAAATTACCACTGCTGCAAACAAACGAAAACCGCATTTATATCGTTTTGTAGCGTCTATCTCAAACTACTTATCTGCGAACTTTTTGAAACTATTTTTCCTGAATCGAGAGAAAGCATTAAACATAGCCCACAGACAGTTGGAAAAGAGTCAATGAGCGCAAGTAAAAATATTAAAAAAATACGGACTCACTTTTTAGAAAAATCCCAACTTTCGAATCCCAAAGAAAAAAAAAGATAGCATTAAAGCTCTTTGAAGTTTTAGAACAATTAATGATTGATACTTTTTTTGATCAAATTAACCAATCATCGCGACCTATATAAGAGTCTAAACAATGTTCATCGACTCTTGAAAAATTCATCACGACCTATATGAGAGTCTGAACTAATTTCATCGACTTTTAAATATCCACACTCTAAAATGGCCGTATAGGGTATTTAAATTATAAACAATTTAAAAAGATATATTTTATTTAAAATTATATATATTTGACCAAAAATAGAAACTTTCCTGTGTTACAAACAACCTCACTCTTATAACAAATAATACCAACTTCATGGTCATAGCGGGCGATGTCTTGAACTCTCCTGCCTCCGCATTGTTCAGGATGAGTTTTACCAACATCTGGCACAGAGAGGTCTCCCCTTCGTTACTCTGTTTGGCATAGTTGGAGCTCATGGAGAGGAATTTATCCGTGGCAACCAAGTCTTTCGCAAACTCCCGCAGCTCGAAATCTTTCACAAGACACCTGGGCATAAATCATTTGCTTTGAAACCAGTGAGTGCGCAGAAATTTTGATTTTCAGTGAGTGCGCAGGTCGACCACTTAGTACGCAGGTTGACCAATTTGATTTTCCGAGCTCTCCGAAAATATTATAAGAACGCTTTTTTGTCAACATATATTGCGCCGCAGACAACTTTTTGAAAAAAAATCAGGCTAAATACGACTTTTTAAGCATTTAAAAAATTAATTGACCAAAAAGGTACGAGGCCAAACTATGCACCGAATAGGCGCAAAATTTGGTGTTTGCAGGTTTCTTGAATCCAGAGACTATTATTTAACACGAAGATGAAGCTGAGCTTTGATACACTTGCGATGCAAAAAAGTTCTGAAAAATACAGTGGAAAAATTTACTTGAAATTTCTGAAATAAGTTGAAAAAATTACTTCAAAAAATAACTAGAAAAGTTGAAAAAAATTCGGCCAAAAAACATGATTGTATAGAAAAAATTTCATAATTAGCCTAAAAGTAATTGAAAATCAATTACCAAAGGTGAACAAAAATTTGGTCGAAACCTGTTAAGATTTGGTCGAAACCTGTAAAATTTTTACGACCCATCCAATCTGAAACACATATTTGCATGCGAATATATTTCCCCTCAAAATTAAGCAATAAAAGTTGACTGAGCCGATACAACATAGACGGAAACGGTTTAAATAATCAAAAAACAACAAAAAAACTTGAGAAAAAAAATGTCAGACTTGGTAAATATACAAATTACTCTACTTTCAGTTGTAGTAATAAACTGTTTAAAAAAGGAACAAAACACATGCTCTAGAAAATAAGCCAATAAAAACCCTATCAGCTAAGAAATGACATTTCAAAAATAAACGGTAATAGAACCGACTGAATCTAGGACGAAAACCACGAAACCGAAAAAAATGAGTTTTTTTTTAATTACAAACTGAAACGGACTTTACCTGATTACTACTTAAACTATAAAGTTTTATTTGAATTTTCAGGAAACTCATCATGTCAGAAGATGAAAGAGTCGAGATATGAAATGAGTCCTCTGATCAAAGTTGTTTACGGGGAAGTCTAAAAACCGATGGCAATACCATTGTTTATCGCAAGGGTAAACATGTTGAAATTTTGTCGGAATGATCGAAGAGAATGAAAAAAGAAGAAAAAAGAGAGCGTCCTTGATGCGGAGTCCACTAACAAAACACAATACACACAGTTTGAGCGCTCCTCCTTAAATTTAGCTCAATTGGCGCCAAAGTCATCTTTAGAAAAATGTTGAGGTTGGTTAGCCATAAATGCATGCCGTAAAATTATACCAAACGGAGGAAAGATTTGGAAACCAGAATTGAGAGGGGAGGAGGGGGTTTACGTTTGCCTGCCTCCCTGGGCACGCTACAGTTTTAAACAATATTTTGGAAATAGGATGAACTTAACAATCAACCATTTAGAAACTATAACTTCACCCTCTTATCCAAAACAAATATCGCGCAAGAAATTTTTTGGGATAATGAAATTGTTTGCTTCGCAAACACCAGCGAGAACACCAACAACAGCAGCTCCATAAATCCGCCTGAAATTAGCAAAAATTGTGCTACTTCTGAGATTCGAACCTGCGACCTTGAGATTAAGATTCTCATACACTAACCACTCAGTCATGGAAGCTTAATAACAGTTGGAAAACAGTAATGAACGCAAGTAAACAGAAAAAAAAACCACTAAATTTGTTGAAAAAATTTCAACTTTCGAATTTCAAAGAAAAATTAGAAACCCTTTAAGATTTTCCAAAGCGTCGCAAAAAAACAACAAAAAACAACTAATCCCATACATTTTCACATTGCCTGTTGTTTTTATCAGAACCTTACACTAGCCAAAAATAAAGCCGCAATATAGGCTATTAAGTTGCCTATACTTAAATAAGCTTAAATATGATTAAATTTAAATAAACCAAGAATGCCACCAATGAGTACTTATATGTGCGACTTGGGTTGAAAAAAATTCTTCGTAATAATACAATACGCTTACCTTGTGTAAAAAATTCTTCGTGACAATACACTACGTTGTAAACAGATCAAGCTCGGAGATAGAAACGAATATATAAACACTTCTTTGTAGATGCTTAGTATTCTTGATTCAAATCATTCCTCCATGTTCTAGCCACAAAATGAACAAGATTCTGATCGCATTTACAGCTCCAACAAAACAAACAAAAATTTGCTTCAGCTGGCATTGTCAAAACAAAACACGCAACTTCCTCGCACCTTGATTACTTTTTAGGTTTTAAAGCATTTTATGGAAATTAACTAGAACTTTTTTGAAGTTTAGCTAGTCGGAACTTACTTTGCCAAGAATGCGTTCAGCTCATCGCACCAATCTGAAGGTCTCCTGACAGTGGGTGGGTTATTCCTTGGGATGCGGAAGAGAGCCTTGACAGGATGCAGTTCGCACAGAGGGGGATCCCCGTCAGCTAGTTCTATCCCGGTGATGCCCAGACTCCACACGTCACATCTGTTGTCGTAAGTGGCCTCTCTCTGGTTCTCACACGCAATCACCTGGATACAGGGATGGGGTGATATCTGATATTTTTAAAAATATCATATCAATCCGATATTTTTGATATATATCACGATATTTTTGATATTTTTGATATTCTCGGGGAACAGTTGGGGAACAAATACTCAGCCTATAGGAACACTTGAAAACTATTTAAAAACTGTAGTTTGCAAATGAACTTGAATTGGACGTTCTGTTGTTCAAGCATTATTCAAAACTTTAAATATGAACAACAGTTTTGCAGCTTTTTCGTTTCCAAGACGATTTCGGATTTCGCTATGTATCCACCCGTAACTTGAGAATAGTCGCTCAAGCGACGCCGTAGAAGGGCTGCATGACAAAAGCCCAATGATTATATCCTTCACACTCTGCGGAATGTCAGCGGCAAGTGACCACCAATCGTGAGGATTAATTTGCTGCGCAACCTCGTAATACGACTTGATAAATGGTGAAGCTTTTGCACGGAATTGTGCGATGACAGCGACTAAATCAGGATGAAGCTCGAACGCCTTCTGCAAAGCACTTTCTTGCTCGGCAGCATCCAACACATTAGTGTTTAAATAGCGAGGGTCGAGCAAGAATGCCAGTTTGTGGAAATCTGTCAGGCACATCTCACGGCGCTTGCTCAGCTGCAATTGCTTCTCGTTTGGCAAAGTCCCATTAAGCTCTTCCGACAAAGTATGCCAGATCATGACAGCATCTGATATAGTTGCACGTGAGCCCTGCATTTTGTCAAGTGCCACGGCAATCGGGTGCAGCACTTTCCGGTAATCTTCTGCCGACCGCTTCAACCCGATGTTGGTGACAAACTGGTAAATGTTACTGCTCACTTCTTCTCTATGTTCTTCAACGACTGACATCAGGTGGCTGATAACTTGGTCGCAACATCTTGAGCAGCTTTTTGAAAGCTGGATGTTCGACCCTTTGAAACGGCGTGTTAGTTGCGTAAAAGAACTCTGCAAGAGCAACGTCTATTTTGTCCTTCTCTTGTTTGTTTGTAACAGAAACAACTGAACTCAAAGAGTCGTCCTTTTTAGGCTGCTTTGGCACCGGGACTTCTATGTCCCTGTCACTAACACACTTTTCCAAGTGTTTTTCCAGCCTCGCTGGAATGCTTTGCATACCGATGTTGCAGCATTTGCAAATTGCCCATACTCCGGTATTGCCTTCTTTTTTCGTTCGACGAAAGTTGTCCCAAACATCTTTCCGGTTTCTACCAGGCATTTTAAAACTCAAGATCAAAATCTGAAATATAAAGCAGTCAACTGTATAACAGCGTTGATAATTGGAAGATGACAAGTTGAAGAAAAAACGCGGCAAAAACCCAGACTGAATTGCCAGACAAATCACTGAACAAATTTGGCGGTAAACGAGAACAAAGAAAATCCGCGGTTCTTTTGATGGGAATATTAGGCAAGAGGCATGTCAAATTTACCTGATTTCATGATACAGCTGATATTTATGGATTTTTTTGTCAAAAATATCATGATATATATCATGATATTTATCATGATATTTATCACTTGATATATATCACCCATCCCTGCCTGGATACAAAAAAGAAGCCCTGAATTACCACATGGCATATTTTTATTCAAACTAACTTTCAGACTGTTCTTCAAAGTTAATTTAATTAAATAGATATGGCAGTTATAAAAAGATATACGGTAACCTACAAAAAATGAAATTGATGAACAAATGGGTGATAATAATGATTCATTTGACAAACAATTCGCAATCAGTATTAAAAGATTTGAGGAAAACGGTACCGTATGAGACTTCTCAATCCCATGATTCAAATATTTAGTTGAAAAGTTTTATCATAATAGATTTTGGAGATGGTTTTAAAATTACACGCACAATGCTGCCTTGTGGTAATGGTGTGTAATTTCGGTGCTCACATCAATCAAAATACTTTTTGAGCAAAGCCTCAGATTGATTTGAATATTTCACAATTTACTTATAAGAAATCGCTACGTCGAAGGAAAATCTAAACAAATACTGATAGCTCAAAAAAGGTGTTGCGTACTATTTCGTTCAAAAAAAAATACCTCATACCGTACCAATTCGAAGAAGATGACAATAATACTATTCATGATATTTTTTGAAACAAATTGAATCAGATACTGTTTCTCAGATACTGGATACATCACCGATAAATTTTCTGAAAAAATAATACTGGGATCAAAATGTTCACTAGATTTTCGAGCAAGGGTTTCGACAATTTTCTTCAAAAAATGAAATTCTTCCAAATGATTTGAAATCATACGCAAAATAGCAGATTTATTTTATAACGAAATCTAATACCTCCGGTGACATCCAGAAAGGAGTTCCCACTGAAGTGTTGCGTCTCCGATCGAAACTAGAGTTGTGTGCAGACACGCCTGAAGAACGAGACAAAATTAAGAGAGGACGGTTGCTCTCCAAGTACCACGGGTTTTTCTGATCATGACATTTTCTTAAGGAAAACTCTAGATTGAAATCAAGCATTTGAAACCAGATGATACTAATTGATATAATAAGCGTAGGGTGAACAGTTCTCACAATAAATTAGTAATGAGTAATTTGGAATTTTAAAACTTCGAAGGCAAATAAACTTGCTGAAATCAGTCTGCAAAATACTCAAACCAATTTTTCCCGACAGTGAGATTAAAGAGTCATTTTTTGGAACCGAATTTGGACTGAAATTGCTTTTTAATATAATGTGAGGTATCTGATTTTGCATTAAACAACACTCTACGCCAAAATTATTACCCAACTATTGGGGGTGGGGGTGGTATTATTATCACCTATTTGTTCATAGTGCTTAATTATTCCATTTAAATGGTTGCCATTACTAGTGCTCTCGGGCCGATAAGTCACAATCTAATCTACTAAAAATAACGAAGTTCTGATGTTACAAACTGTCCTTACCAAAGTCAACCAGTTTGACTCTTCCGTCGGAGGTGATAAGAACATTCTGTCCCTTCACATCTCTGTGGATGATGTTGTTCTCGTGCAAAAAGGACAGCGCCTGAAAAAAGTCAAAGTGCCATTTTTGCTTAAAAAATCCCTTAGTTTTTTCAATTTAAGAGGCATAAACAAACTCCGTCTCGATCAGGGTCGGGTCTAGGATTTTCTGAAGAAGGAGAGAGAGGAGGTTTTCGAAAAACAATCTTGTTGCTTCAACAAAAAAATAGCTGAACTTTTTTTGCAATTTTTCGGAACGCACTCTCCCTCAAAATTATTATAAATTGCGCCTTTAGAAAAACTTTAGGTTCTATTGGCCGAAAATTGATGTTGTAAAACCTATGTCCTTTGTGTGTTGAGGGGCACAAATGCCTGAGTCCGCTCCTGGTCTTGATGCATCTCGGCGGGTTTTTGAAAATCACGGCAGAAAGAATAGGCATTTATTTGCACAAAAACTCAACTGAATGAAATTTTGCTCGAACAAAAATATCAAATTCATTCCTGAACTGAAAATATTCCTGGATTTGATATACTTGAGCAATTTAATTATCCAAGTTAACTCCCAAAATACTCTTAATTTAGCTTTTTTTAAATTTTGTCATGAATACTAATTTTGGTTCAACACAGGTAGACATTGTTAATGTGGAGTCTACTGCGACATGTGGGAGTAGCAGCACGGTATCAGTGAAAAAAATAAACAACGATGAAAAGATGAGCTAAACTTAAAATGGAAAATAAATCAATGAAACATGGGGTGAAGTAGTCGAAAGAGAACCAATTTTGATATCAATGAAAGATTGATAGCAAAAAACGTTACACGGTTAAAGATTCGGTCACTGTACTAAAATCCACGTTCGATGCTCGCAGAGTGGGTGATGTCACAAAAGCAACATTGCACAAAAAAAAGTTACAAGTGTGCCATAATTTACCTGGTAATACTTGAAAAAAAAAAGATTTCACCCTGCTAGATTTGCAAATTCGTCTTGTTCACTAATAAGAATACGTTGCATCGCAGCCGACGGCAACTTCAAAAACTGAAGTTTGTAAATCCAGGAAACGAAGAATCTACTTTCTTTTTTGAACGGCTACCCAGATACGAAATGGAAACAAAGACCACAGCAAATCGAAGGGATTGCCCACCGTTACGAACAATAGTGTGGTTTCTTTGTTGGGGAAGTCAGGAGACAATGCTACCAATTTTGTGAAAATCGAAAACAAAGTCGACTTGAACTAATGGAAAACGCAGTTGAGCGGAAGTATCATATTACCAAGGGAGAAGAAAAATTACGAGACGACAAAGTATCTCATATGAGCAAGAAACACCATGGTCATCATTATTAGACTAAAAATTGGGTCCGAATTCAAATTCTCTTATTGTTTGTTCGCGTTTTATAAAAGAGTTATTTATTGGAATCAATAGAATAGAAATAGTCAAAGCCCTTAGAATTGACGCAAAAGCATTATCTAAAAATATTATTGCTAAGAAAAAGAAAATTACAAAAAAAATAGTTTATACTCCCTGTACTCAAATCAAACCAGTGCATAAAGTTTTTAGGGTACTTCTTATTAAAGAGGCCCTCTTCCGCGACCTTGAGATTTCTTACGCGCTCCTGACAACTTTGTGGTTTCTCAAGTAAATGTCTGGTAGTGGAACTCAAGTCTGCTTTTGTTTTTATTTAAAATTAAAGTCTGAATGAGAATACCTCCCCGCGAGCTTGGGATTTCTCCAGCAAGTTTTGGACGGGATTATGATATCACGACCTTATGTCTGAATTATTCTTACTAATGTTTTCTACAATTGCTCTCACGATTAATTCTGTTTTTTTTTCGATAGTGATATGAGTCGATGTTTAATCATATATCGATACATATATATCTAATTTCAGTTTTGTTTCATTTATCTTTCTGGTTTTGGTTTTTGTTTTGCGCTACATTTTTATTAATATTTAATTTTTAGAATAATTTAAATAAAAGACTAATCAAATAAGCTAGATTACTGTTCAAGTAGATCAACACAGATATTGTGGGGTTATTTTTTAACTGGAGTCCAAATTATTAAAGAATAAACTATAGTCAAGTTAACATATCGCAATAGCGTTCAAACACTGAGCCTATTTTTTTGAAATAGAGCGTTCATAATTGCTCTTTGCAGTATACATCATACACAGTGCCGTGAACAGCCAAAACTTTAAATTTTTCATGGCTTATCTCTATTATTGATTCAAAAACGCAATTTCGAGGAAACTGCCTGGAACTTAGAAACATATCTAAAGCTACAACAGCAGCAGCAAAAACAAAGTCCTGTGTTAATGTATTTTTCTCAAATCAAACATAACATGCTAAAGTCCTGAAAACTTCAATATCAGAACCCTATGATGTACCATACGATACAAGAAATATTGGAGATGAGCAAGAGAATCTACACCCTCAAACAAGAGCTAAATTTTTGTAGGTAAAAACCAATGAACGGCTAATGAATCCATCTAAAATATTTGGATAGTTTGGAAAACGCAATTGAAGATTATAAAACAAATGAAACTTATAGGGAAATTCATGAGGTACTGCACCCTAATTTAATTAAATTTTTACCAGAAATTCTTTTAAAAAAAGAAGCTTTGGATAATGACTACAGTTTAAAAAGCAGCCATTTGAAAAATTACAAAAAAATTGTCCGGAAAAAATACGAAACTCCAGAAAACTATGAGAATCAAGCAGAATTTGTCAAAAGATTAGTATGAAGTAGTGGAAAGATTAGTCAATCAGCAATAAATGAATTCTACCACAACAAAATTCAGCATGACGGTAAAAAAAAACAACAGAGAAAATTTTGGATTATACGATGAGCTTGCAACAGGGAACGACCGCCAATCAAAAATGAGAGTTTGGATGCAGAAGAACTTGAGCACTTCATAAACACTTTTTAGCACTATTGGAAAAAAATTAGCTCAGAAAATTGATATTAGTTCGAAGCACCAAAACTATGAAAAACAATTGCAATCAAAACTTCTGGTTAATAAACTTTCCCGCGAGGTCGAGTTTTTTCAGACAAAAGAAAACTAAATACAGCATAGACTGCTATAATCTCGAAAATTCATTCTGAAAAAAATTGCAAATCAACTGTTCCATTCCTAATCAAATTGATCCGAAAGGTATTGAATACGTATATGCTCCAGATTGCCTTAAGATAGTAAAAACAAAACCCAGCTACAAAGATGGCAAAAAAATCCGCAAGCTATCAACCGATATCATTTAAATCAGCAATAGGCAAAATTGTAGAGAGAGTGTTGTATAAAAAACTGAATGAATTTCTTACGAAAAATCTAATTTTTAACCATGTACAATAAGGGTTTTTAAGCAAATGTGAAACAATTGTCACAGTAGTTTCGTTCATTGGGGAAACTCTTTACAGTGGAATTTTCACACAAATGAAACACAAACAACATTCTAGGTGTTGCGCATATCTTTTGATCTGTAAATCTCAAGTTTTTGTTGAAAAAACAAAACTCTTATCGGCTACGAGGACCATTGTATGAATTTAAAATATCTAATTTGTCAAATAGAACGCAATATAACTTTGTAAGTCGCAATAGATCTAGCTCCCAGTAACACAAGGATGTACCACTAAGATCTAAATTAGAATTTCTTTTACTGAAGTCTTTATTGTCTTCATTAATGATAATAATTGTAACACTGTAATTGATTTAGTCTGATACTGCAGTCCAGACTAAAATAGAGAAAAAATTTTTGAGAAAATTGTTCAAAAAGCTCTGAACGGTGTCACTGACTGGCTAGATGATAATCAATTAACGTTGAACATGGACAAGAATCAGTAGAAAATCAAAGTCAAAAAACAGAATCAGTAGAATACAAAATTAGAAAGTTATGAGCAATTTAGTAGTTTTAGATATCAGGGTTTTTACAATGAAATGTTAGGCAAAGAAAGCCATGTACAAGAGGTTTGAAATAAGTTGAACAAATTTTGCGGGATGTTTCAAGCACATAGGAAGTGTTAAAAAGTAAACCAATTGATAAAAATGTACAAAATATATGTTGAACAACTTGTGCAACACGGTAACCTTGTTTATGCTGCTTCTCATAAAGCAAATTAAGTTCAATGCCATTTTAACAAATTAAAAATCATAAATGACTTCAACCGTAAATGAACAACACGTTTATGAACTACTGACACTATTAGGTAAAGTGATGAGAAAATAATGCCCTTCAAAGAGCATGTATAACTATAAAAATCATGCTGAACTTGTTGCAATCAAGACACGGAGACTGAAACGTTAATAACTAGTCATTGCTGCAATCAGCTTCCAAGAACTTTTCTTTGGACTAGGATAAGTAGGCTTTCCATTTGTATGTCCGCCTACAGTTTATATTTTTAAAGTTTCTTTTAAACGGTAAACATGCTGATTTGAACAGCTTCAACCATATGTTTTTGGAGTAATGAACATTTTTCTAGCTGATGATATTTTCCAACAAACTCCGAGCTATGCCTCAAATTTTGCTTGATTCAAAATAAGTTAATAAACAAAACCCTTAATTAAACTTAAATATATACATATAAAAAAGTTAAAATTTTTCTTTTTATTAATATTTATGACACTCAAATCAACCCAATAAAATCTGGAAAAAGAATAATAAGAAACCTGGTTTGTGTAAATCATCAAACAAGTTGGAGTGGGAAATTAAAATTGTGTACAAAATTGAAAAGATGATAAAAAATTTGAAATTGGTTACACAAAATATTAAAACGCAAAATGCCTGGAAACAGACAACTTATGGCCAATGGCAATCTACCAAGATGATCTGCAGTCTGTAAAAAGCATATGAAAAACGTGATGAATCGTTAGATATGTTTTTGAGAAAATTTATTATGATTATTACAGCCAAAATTAGCTACCCAGAGTTGAAACCACGCAGAAATAAACAGTGAACTTGGATACTTTTCTCATTTCTGGGTAACTTGAAACTAAGTTAACCGCACCATAAAAGTTACTCAGAGTTTTGAACAAAAATGCCTTTTTGCTTTTTGCGAATCTCTAACTTGATACAACT